AAATCTAAACTTTTAACATTAGGATAAAAATATAAATAAAAATCAGTTTCGATTTTGAACATTTGTTCGTTTGCCTTGGTTAAGGTTTTTAAGTACTTTTAGAGGCAGCGGATTGCGATCCGCTGCGCTAGTACTTGGTTATTGTAAAGAACAAAAGGTCGGTGACCTAAAGACGCTTCCTCAAGCGCAAAACTACGGCAGCCCCGCCGCACCCATTCTGCTGGGGTGTGCAACGTAGTACGTGAAATTGTGTTGCACTATTATACCATTGTACAAATTTCATATCTTACTTTTGTGTAGTTGTGAATTATCAGGAGTTGACAGCGCTGGTATTAAAAACGAAAAGGAGAACTCCGTGGTAAACGTGGGGTCATGCAAAAACATAGTTCGCCTATCGAATATATAAAAATATAGTTCACCTATCGAATAAATCGATTTATATCGTATCAGCTTTAATCTTAAGTATATGTCTCTCATGATATAGCAAAACTAAGAAGTTAACCGGACTCAAGCCCAAAAAATCCGGATTTTTCAGAAAAACAGAATATTTTGATGACAATGTGAAAATAGGGATTTTGGTTTTCGAAGTACGTCACAAACTCAAAATAAATACAAAAAAACATTCTTAACAATTCTACAGAAGATACCTCCGACACGGGTTCGCTACCGCGCGTTTGGGTCCATGATGGATCGTAGGCGTTGTGCGTGGGAATTTATTCCCCGTGGACATGCTGAGGGGTGAATCAAATCTGTGCTGAAGTGAGGCAGTTCTTTTTATGTTTTTAGGGACTGCTTCCTATTCATCAATCTCAACTCCAATTTCATCAAGAGCCTCGTCCAGAACGTCAAGGTCGAAAACATCCGCAATCACACTGCTGTCACCGTCCGTCTTGTAGCTTTCTCGAAACAACGTACCGTAGACATCATGTCGAGCAAACCAGTCTTGGTGGTTGTCTGCAAAGCCAGCACCAATGATGGAGTTGACGCCAGCGTCTCCATCGGTCTGTGCACATGCCTTGCAAACCCACGAACACACTGACTTCACTGGTGGCGGCCTGGGATTGCCATATTTGGTGTAACTCACCTGGTCACTCTCCTTCCACGCATTGATTTCAGCATAAAAATGGTC